ATGAATGGGCTGTTTGGGATATGCTTGTATTGAACTGATTGATCCATGGGCTGTTTGGGATATGATTGTATTCAACTGATTGATAAATGGGCTATCGTTGATATGATTGTATTCAAATACAGCAGTGTTCGGGATACTATTTATATAAGCCATTTGATATTCTGTTTATTGTATCCCAGCTGGTCTGAAGAGCTCTGGATTGAGCGAAACGCGTCGTCGGCAATGAGTATGACAAATGAAGTGTTGTTGGAATACTGTATTTGTACACTCTACTTTTTCTTGAAAATCACCAATGGACCAAATTAAGAATGTTGTGTTTAGAAATGTACTTGTCTTATAACAAACACGATTGTATTCAGCTGATTAATCAATGTGTTCTCATCACAGACTTTAGTTTACTTATGTATTGGTTTATGACTTTATGTTCTTCTAGTCAGTTTGTTATATAGTTTATAACTTATAACGTCTACTTTATAGATTAATTAAAATAAGTTATAAGTAACGTTTTTATTTCTGGTCTCTAGAGTTACCTTAGGGTAATCAAAAATATTTGATAGTTATGCTTGATTTCTCCTTCCTAATTTAATATACGTGGACTGACACAAAACGACTGGTAGTTTATGAAATTGTTTTTTATCTAATGGTTCTTTGATTTCTAGATGCAAGGACTGACACAAAACGACTGGTAGTTTATGAAATTGTTTTTTATCTAATGCTTCTTTGATTTCTAGATGCAAGGACTGACACAAAACGACTGGTAGTTTATGAAATTGTTTTTTATCTAATGCTTCTTTGATTTCTAGATGCAAGGACTGACACAAAACGACTGGTAGTTTATGAAATTGTTTTTATCTAATGCTTCTTTGATCTCTAGATGCAAGAAAAACATAACCTGACAGATCTGGAACTTCGAGTCAAGACAATGGCAGAGTCAATGTCTGTAATGTCAGAGAAAAACATCGGTACCACAATATTCTCATCTCGAGCTATAACTGATGATAATAAGGGCTTAAATTACCCCCACTACGGTTCTCCGTGGGAGAGAGTTCACTCGCTAAGCGAACAGATTTCTATGCTTGAAGAACGGCTCGAGGACTGTAAGTGAATACATCATGTGCTATCTATCTGTTTAAAACAATAATTTCATTACTATTTTAGGTAAAAGTGTCTTTTCCATTTATCGTTATATAGTACACCAGGGACCAGATTATCTTTCAGTTTAATAGCATTAAGAAAAACCTTTTAAGCTTCTGTGTTAATAGGTTAAAATCGCGTTTTAACTGGGAATTTCTTCGCAAAATATAATTGTGATATAATAGCTTTTCACATGACAGTGATTCGGTTGTAACCAGAAGAGAAAGTGTACATTTTTATAGCTGATGCAAAATATATACGTGTGTGTGTGTGTGTCTGCTGGTATTTCCACATACGTATAAACATATATATGTTTTTATGCGTATCATGTAATCTAAGTCTGTAAATGTTATTTTTCACTGCTATAACTGTAAATTATAACTGTGTTGAACAAGTAAAAACTGGTTTGGTTGTTTTCGATAAGAAGTTTATCTATACGTCTTTTTAGTTGTTTTTTTCTTTCGTCTTTCTGCCTGTTTAAATATGTGTTCAACTGTGTGTGTGTCCGTCGATTTGAACAAATTATACTTCTACGTTATTGAATTATTATTTGTAAAACTGTTTTAACATAAAGACTTTTTTCAGATCTTTTTTTATTCATACCTCTAAGTTTACGTAGCTTTAAAAATATGACGTTCAATTTTTAGTTTTATATATATATAGTGTATTGGAAATGATTATTCAATAGCTTATAATACTTTTTCGAAAAACTAAATAAAAAACACCTTGTAAAAGTTTATAATACTGTTTATCTCTGAAACTGAAGACCTTCATCAAAAGAAGACCACATTAACTTTTTTGTAAAAATCAAATACACATATATAAAAAATTCAGTACGTTATGTTAAAACAACTAGCGTATAGTCCGTCAAAAATGACGAGGCAAGTACTACCACCCCCACCCCATAGTGCATCCTAACCTCACAGTTCATAGCTAACTAAAATAAATAATTTTTGCGAAATCAAGCTTCACCAACAAAGAGGCAGAAAAGTCCAACATGGGTAAATTCCTTTGTGAGCCAATCAAAATTAAGATCATTCAAGAAATGAATTCGTGGCGTATTCGAAGGATAATTATTGGCAAAAAATCAGTTAGATTACCCATTTCTAATATACAAAAAAGCCCATACGTTTTGGTCACACGACGCCTATTGCCTGGACACGTGGATAGCTCTTGCCGCTCATCTTATTGTTCATGGATTCTCACCTGCGACAAGATACCACATTTTGCTTACCACGGCTGGGGTGCAAATAGTTGCAGGTCTCTTTCTTGATGATCCTGGTACTCCAAGTTAATTCATATCCCTATGTTTTTCATTTCCATTAAGTACAAGAGATATACCTGTCTTGAGTATACGAGCAGTCTGAGTGTACGAATATTTTGCATCATGAAGGGTTGTTACCTATCCTTTTCAAAAAAAAGAGATCAATTTTCGGTGGTATCACACTTTCTATGTAATTCCAAGCAATGCCAAAATATAGTTCTGATGCATTCCATTCTCCTGTGACTTTATATCAACTGTGGGTGTAACGGGACTAGTTTATTTGGCTGTTCAAAATCTAATCCACATAAAATACAGTGTATGTCACGTCACGTCACGCTTGATTTCTCGAAATATGAGGAGACATAAAAGCCACAATACATTTATCCAGATAGAATAGTTCGATTACTGTCTACCCAATACGATGTTAGTGACAAAGGTGCAAGAGTGCCGTGAGGGGTGTGTATTCCATGAAACCTTATAAGTGTAGTGAGTGTTGGTATAATAAGCCTAAAGTAAAGGCGTAGTGTTAGATCACCTAGCCTAAAGCAAAGTCCAATTTTAAACTTAAATCATTTCTGAATTAAGCAATTTTCTGTTATATCACCAACGTTTAAAAAAAACAACAATTCAATCAACGAATACTAAATTATGAAATCAAGAAATTATTTCCAGTTTTGTTGTCTATACCTTTTATTTTACACTTTTATTATAATTGTGTTGCTAAGCAACATGACATAAAAGCCATTGTTGAAGTACAAAATTTAATCAAAAGTGATATCGCTCTGGAAAAGCGACAAAATTCACTTGTACATAAACTGCTTTTACCGTTTAACAGTCACATCTCTCAATCAGCTGGAGAATGAAAAGGATATTCATGATATTCCATACAAAGACACACCTTTTAAGTCACCGGATCTCTGTGTGATTAGAATGTTGAAATGGGTGCTAGGAAACCGTCGTTCTCGTACACTAGATGAGATATGGAAAGCTCGTCGGGAGGACTGCTGTGCTTAGAACTACGCATTTTTTCAAAGTAAACTACACTGAAGGGCTATTGGTAGCAATCACAGTCGTCAGTTAGATCATGACCGGACGGGGGTGTGAGATTTCAAAAGTGATTTAACATAATTTTCGTAACCTTTGTATATACACGTATATATATATACAAAAAGAAGCCCAAAAAACTGAGTTAAAGAAGCTGCATCAATTAAAAATATCCCCAAGGTACAGACTACAATGTGGGATACAAAATGTGCCCTGGGTTTTGGAGGTGACTGTGGAAATAGGGTCCACATTGCGGTGTAGATACATCGTCTATCAGTCCGTTTGCCAGACTCGCATGATTGTTTGTTTGTTTGTAATTAAGCACAAAGCTACACAATGGGCTACCTGTGCTCTGCCCACCACGGGCATCGAAACCCGGATTCTAGCGTTGTAAGTCCGCGGACATATCGCTGTGCCACTGGGGGGGGGGGCGACTCACATGAAGAAATTCATAAAAATAAAATAAAATCGTCGAAAAAAATAGAAATTAGGAGAGCAAGATGTGGATGCTCAAGCCACATTTGTACATAGCAAGTCTACTGTATGAAATAAATGATGTAGATACATAAAAAAAATCCAAAAAACGGGCATGCAGATGAAAAGTTATGACAAATACGACTATAAGTTTTTGTTTATGAAAATCTAAACGCGGAAAAAAATGAAATTATATATTATTTCACTTCCGTAAAAGTTAATCATCTTCACCTTAAGTTAACCAAGAAAGCATAAAATCATGTTTCATAAAATGAAAGTATAAAGTATAAAATCATGTTTCACAACGTATAAATAGTGGTTAATTAATTCTTGGATATTATAAACTCTTGTCATTTATATTATGCTCATCATGATTATTGTGTTTTAGGTACATGTAACGAACAGCAACGAAGGTCGAAACGAAGACCAAGGTTATAAGTTATCCAGAAACATAAACCAAGCCCACCGGAAGAAATAAGAAGACTGAACGAAAATGGACTAGTTGATCGTATTGAATATGTTCGTATTTTTCTTCTCTGCAATGAAAACCTTTTCAGATGTTTTTACTTCCAGCCTGTAGCAGCCACATTTCTAACGATGTGTTATTCGATTTAACATGATTGGTTGGAGTTACTGGCACGCATTTAGAATAAATTATGAGGTTGATCATTGTCAATCTTATTTTTTATGGTCACTGCAATTTCTCGTATCTTCTCCGAGTCTTCAATGGTAATTTTAACGAGTTCTGAACTAACGAATCAAAAGAGGATTCTGTGCATGCGTTGGTTGTCAATAATCCATTATTCTTTGTTGTCAACGGAATATAATTATACCATTTTTAACCATATTGTATGCAAGATGAACAAACCAGCCATTATATAGAATGGGAATAATATGGAAAAAGAGGATTTTTATCTAGATATGCAGTTCTAATTGAAGTACATTATTTTATTATTTAGATATCATTGTTCTCTTTACCAATTTTTTTCCTAACCACCTACGATAGATTTTGTTACACTAACAAGAACATAAACTTCATGCTTCAGTGTTCTTAAATCATCTCAAAATTAAATGTGATGGATTACATCTTATATTCATTTACAACTGCATTTTTGGAAGCTGTTACCAACAAACTACATAAGACTAAAAAAAGTAGTTTGTATCCACCACATCTATTAAGCACTCTACTCAACAAGATTGCTAATATCTCTTTCAGAGAACCTTCCGTATATCGTTTTTATCATCACTGTTAGCCATCAGTTACGAGCTGTTCTACCAAATTGAATGGTTAGTAAACGGACTGAATAATCTTACTAAAGTATCGCTTCTGAATGTATGACGATGGTGGCACGTGCTTGGTTAATGGACAGTTTTGCTAGAATAACAAAACAACAGCGTGTTGAACAGAGAAAGTCAGCTATAAACAAAAATAGTGTTGGTTTATTTTTACTCTCTTATCAATAAACCACTAGTGTAAGTTTGTGTTTTTGCTATGTATTCTGGTTTTTTTTTTCCATGTGCTTTTATGATAAATGCTAAATTGTTATGTAGTCATGAATTGCCTTGAGTGATATATCAAACTTCGTAGATGTGTTGTAGTGGATAATTTTAAGCAGATGGTCATCTGATGTAAACTATGTAATCAATGATGTATTTGTAAAGAAATAATGCTTTTCCTTATTATAAGATGTATTAAAAGTAATAATACAATATAGTATAAATTAAATAATAGGTTAATTTCGTTATCATATGATAAGGTAAATATTTGTTTTTTGTGTTCAACGTTGATTTTATAGAAGTACATTTTTCTTAAGCTGTACTTTTAAAACAAGGAAATTATTAATTTTGATCATCTCAGATGATGGCGTAATACAGTGTCTCTTAATAATGTTGATTACATTTTGTTTTTACACTTAGTTTATGACTATTCAGTAGGAAAAAGTATAGTGCACACAGGAAAAGCACCGTAAGCTATTCCAAACACCTAAAC